TCATGTTTTTGGCAAAAATAATAGGGTGAAGTACTGATTTAGTCCTTAAACTATCATCTTAATGAAAATTAGATCCCTAAATTATTTTTTCGGTAAATGAGTCCCTAAATTCATTAAAAATTGCTAATTTCATCCCTACTATTATGTTTGAAGCTATTTTATCCATTTTTTCATTAACTTAAGTCATTTGACACACTTTAAAATAGTATCATCCTTTTCTCGCCTATAAGCCCTTAACATTTCATATAGGTTGCGAATCTAACATCTAATTTACCCTTCAAAGTTAACTCCATACACTATTTCTTTATAAAAAAAAAAAAAATTATCTATCTATCCTCGAATGTGTATCACATGTAAGTAACATGACTTAAATTGACGAAAAAATGAATATAGTAGATTCAAATCTAATATTAGCGATGTAATTGACAGATTTTTATAATTCAAAGACTAATTCTTCTGAAAAATAATTTAAGGACCTAATTTTTACTTAGATGATAATTCAGAGACTAAATTGATAATTTACCCAAAATAATATGCACAAATGCCTATAGATCGTAATTATGAGAGTTGCAGTTTTGTACCCACTAGTCTAAAACAGAGGAGTAGGAAAGTAAATGATAGCCACTTGCTTGAGAATGTGGCATTAAGCAAGCTAGACAAATCCTTAATTTGATCTTATAATTAACCCAAAAATAGAGAGTTTGCAAGTTAATTTTGTGTATTAAAATTTGATTATTGAATTGTTTCAAGTTGTGTCTAATCTTAGTATCAAAATCAGGACGATGCATGTTGAAGAAGCGCGTGAAGCAGTTAAGCAAGTTTATCATTCATATGCATCCATATAGACTAGGAAAATTTGTAAGGAAGTCTGAGAATAAACTTATGAGGCAGAGGAGACCAGTCTTGAGGTGTCTTCACGGTCGTCATGAGGATCTTATGTTGGAAATGTCAGAGTATCGGGTGACATAACTTTTCAAGTTCAAGTTTAATTGTAAACGTTCAAGTAGAAGGAAAGAGAATGAAGGGAAAAAAAAAAGAAAGAAAGGAGAGAATCCTCCTTCCTTTTGGGCAATTTACACCCAAAAAGAAAAAAGAAAAGAAAGAAAGTAAAATGGGAAAAAAGAGAAAGCTTGTTAATGAAGGTTTTGGATAATTTAGATTTTTTGTGTGGATAATTTAGTTTAAGTTTAGAGTTTTAGGTTGTGCATGCTAATCATTTCTGCCACAACTATAACTATAGAAAAAGTGTCATTGAGTACTATAGTATAGTGATATTTCTCTTCATTTGTAAATAAGAGGTTTTAGATTCGATTCTCCCCCAAAGTGAATTTGAGCCACATTATTACTAGCCCATTATGAGTCTAAGGCCACTCATTTTTCCTCAGTGTAGATAATATCGTTTGTTCCAAAAAAAAAAAAAAAAAGGCTCCACCAAATAAAACGACAGCCTGGAACCATTATATCTTTCAGCCCCACTCCTTATTGCAGGGACCACCATTTTTATTCAATATTTGGGACCATATTTTACTTTATTTTTTATTTTTTGGTAAGTAAATGGTGACCAATATTAATTAACAAATATCAAAACCAATTATGGTGATTAACTTATATTTTTGTAACCGACCTCACTCTTCTCCGACTACCATTTATGCTGACTAGCTTAACATATCCACTTGGTAGGTAGAGCACCCACAATTCTAAAAATATCGACTTAACATACCATTCAAAATAAAAAAAACTTCAAATTTACTCGACGTTAGGTAATTCAGATATACTCAAGTTGGACGGTGCACTATATTTTTTAAACAAATTTGATTTCTTTTGAACCGGTAATAGTTAAGTTTCAAACATGCTATATATTGAGTCCGAGTCTAACCAATAGAAGGAAAGTACTGCCAAGGACAAACTTGTACATGTCATAAACCTACCACACATTTTTTTTTTCTTTAGGGTTTAGACCCTTTATGCATCCCCTAATATATGCGATTAATGGAACCCACAAAAATGATCAATCATTCTCACAAATTGACATTTTATTTATTTATTTATTTATGTATTATAAGTGATATCAATATTCTAAGCTCGAGTAAGAGGAGGGAGACCAATGACGGATGCATGATTCTGCCTCTTAGGGTTCTAGTGTAAAAACCTGCCAAAGCGTTTAACCAAGGCTTATCAAATTTTGTCAAAGATGCATTTCATCGAAAATGTAATATCCACCAAGATAATTCACCAATTATCGGTAGAATTGTAATCAACAATAGCAAGAGCTACTGGCCAAAAGAAAAAATCCAAACTCATTTGAAGGCGACGCTTTACCGTTCCAAATAATGTTTGTCACATACTATTTATTGTCGAGGACACCTCATTCTAACTGCATCCCTGATCTATTATTTAAAAAGTAACAACAACAAATATAACATAAAAAAACTGCTAGTATGAGGAACAGTTAGACCATACGGCACTCAAATGCATAAGATATATTCCGCCATTGGATGTACGCACACACATATATGATATATGCAGGCCTTTTATGCGAAAGAATCTCCATTTAAAAAAAAATAAAATAAAGATTAGGTGTGGGACTCATATCATATGGAACTTTAACGATACCGTTTATTTTGTAAGTCTCGATTCATAGATTATCTTTGTAAAAATTCAATTCAATCCGAATCCATTTGCCTATTTAATTATCAAGATAAAATTTCATTGTTTCTTATACAACAGCGTATTCGTTAATTTCTTTGAACTCAATTAGATGTCTTAAACATTTCCGATTTGGCTAATATTTTGCAAGGATGATTTATAAGGTGCAACTTAAAAAATAGACAGTTCGGATCGTTAAAGTTTGATGTGATGTGAATCCTACAACTAATCCTCATTTTTATAAAAAAAAAATAAAGATCCCTTCCTTTAAAGGGTTCCTCTACACACACACACACACAATATTATATATTATATGATTTTCTCGCACAAGACTTCATGCTTTAATATGGGGTCTATTATCTTTTATATAGAGTAGGATTATCTTCCCTCTTATTCTCATCTCTTTCCCTCTTCTCCTCCTACATATTATTTTTTATCTTATTATCTCTATAAAAAAATAATATAAGATGTTGATGTGGCTAAATCGTAACCGTTTAAATAGAAGGAGAATGAAGATAAGAGAGATTAGGAGGGAAGAGAATCATTCTCCCTTCCATATAGGTAACCCTTCAAGTGTCTTGTTATAAAGCATTTTATCTTCACATAATCACAAATAAAGGAAAATAAAAGGCTTACAGTTGCCTAAGATAAATCGTTAGAGGTGGATTGTCCTTGTGTTCAATTCGTTACGTTCCGACGTTCCGAGTTTAAACAATTTTATCTCTTTCTTTGTGTAGATGAAAATAATGATATTAATAAAAAGATGAGTGTGATACGATATAATCTTTCTGCATTCAATTAAATTGTTGATTTCAACTCTGCAACGTAATTTGAATGGGTGTTGGAAAAACACGTGCACAATAATGTTGGAGAACGCAGTCTCATAGAGAAAACCTGATAGATTATAATACTATTTATAGAATGAGTAGTTTTACAAGAATAACCCAGTAGTTTTTTGTGATAAAACTCAATGTCTCTTAGACTATGCAAGTGATTAAAATGAGACAATATCGTTAATAATATATTAGCATATGGGCACATACAAAGTATGTGAGAAATTTTTTTATTTTTGTTTTTGAAATAGAAGGAGAGAGGAAGGGAATGATAGAGAACATGGGAGTGGAAATTTTTTTTTTTAATTAGAGATATGTTAGAATTACATGTAGGCAAGGCGTTGAAGAAAAAAAAAAAGCAAAATTTGGTTGTGTAAAATTACATATATGTCCCATATTTTCTTATTCATGTTATATTTTAATTAAAAAATTAAATTAATAATTTTATAAAATTTTAATTGACAACGAGTATTTTATTGATTAATAGAGATGACTGACCCGAATGAGCGAGTCACTTGAACATATCCACCAAGACAATCCACTTTGGATAACTCTCATGCACAACATTTGTTTTCTTGATTATCCGACCGTTTTCTATTCAAGACTAGTTTTCTAATTACAAAGCATGAAAAGTATACTCCCAAGTTGACTTTACACTGGATAAAATGAACGGTTAGATAATGGTGGAAAGTATCCAACGGTCTGGAATAAGCAACCAGTTCAACTTGGTAACCACCGGAGCCTTTGTCCGACAAAACTAGTTTGGATAATTACATAAAAATAACACTCGCATTCTTCTTGTATTTTACTATTTGCAAATAATGTATTTTTGTTATATAAATTTTATAATTCAAATTATTTAATTTCTTAAGTTCCATTTGAAGATCATTCATAAAAAAAATCATTCAAATCAAAGATTAATGTTTAATTATTCAAATGTATTAAATAAATATACAATTTAGTGTGAGTATGTTACTGATCCCTTATACTATCAATTTATTCTATACATATAAATGCATGATATTTGATCCGAATATTTTTATTTTATTTTATATATAGTTGAATGACTTCAAATGGTGCTTATAAAATTTATGTTACGAAAATACATTATTAACAAATCATGGAATATATATACATTTACAAATCGTGAAATGTATACATTTGCTCGTGCAAGAATTATTCATGAAATAATAGTTTAATAGTTGCGGCATTTACAGATTATGCCAATGTCACGGTAAATCTATCTATTAACCCTGGGATAAACGCATTTAACTATTTGTTGTCCCTGAAACTGTACGCACCTGATTCTCACCCCCACCACCCAACACATTTGTACAAGTGTCCAGCTGGGGTCCACCAACCAAAAGCCGAGGTGCAGCAACGGTCGTCTACGAACATCCAGCTGTATCCCACCAGGCGCACGTTTATGTCCTTTTATCTAATTTACGCCTCTCTTCCGTACAACACACACTTGGGTAATTCACAGAAGTAAAAAAATTTAAAAAAATTACGTCATTCCTCTATTCGAAATCTTTCTATAAATTAATTAAGCGACTCAAGCGCTTATGTAATATTTTTACACCAAAATAATTAAAAAAACAAATTAAAAAAAAAGAAATAAAAGAAAAAGAAAGCCTCTGCTCTGCAAGACGCACGTGCGAACAGATGCTGACGGTGACGCGCGTGCGAGTTCATCCGAGGTAAACACCGACGAAGAGCTAGCTAGTAGAGAACAGTAGAGGCGTGGGGATTACAGTAGAGAAGAGTACCAGGGAATGCGGATTAAAAATCGGCGATTTTTCGGTGAGAGCGAGATCTGGGGACGAGTTTTTGGGTTTGGGTGTCCTGCAAATTCCTCAGGCTGCGGATCGCCAAAACATCGCTCTTCCGGATGTCAATAAATCGCCCGATGCCGTCGATTTCGCTGTCGGCAGAAACTACAAAACAAAAACAAAAAAAAAAAAGCAAAAAAACAAAATTAAGAAATGAAAAACCGACGGTCAGGATTGAGAGATTGAGAATGATTTCATCCACATTGCGTACCTACGCGCTTCGCCGATCCAGGCAGTTTAGTGAAGCCATTGAACTGAGCCAAATCTGAAACGGAAGAAAAGGGACGGTCAGGATTGGGATTCAAATGAGGAAGAGATGAGCGAAGAGCCGTTGATTAATTAATAGTGTACCTGATTGGGAGGGGACGTGGGAGAAGAGGAAGAGGATGAGGAAGCAGAGGAGGGTGAGGACGGGGATGACGTGGATGGATTTGTGCGGTGCAATGGACGGCGGTGATGAAAGACGGTGAGGCTTCGATGCTTTGTGGTCCTCGTCGTCTTCGTAGGCTGCAGAGATTGAAGAGGAGGAGGAGGAGGCGGTGGTGGAAAAGGCTAAAAGATCCTTAATGCGGTTGGGGGAGTCATCGACGGTGAGAGTCTGGTCCTTGGGTCCGCCGTGGGCCTGGTGGAGCTTCGACGGCGAACCGCCCAGTGACTGTCTTTGCATGGTCACAGACTCACGGACAGAGAGAAAGACAGAGAGAGAGAAGAGAAAGCGAAATTATTAGTGAGCTGTTGTGTGTCCAATACTCTGATGTGGGATTTTTAAATAAGAACTTTCTTTTTCTTTTTCTTTCGATTCGTCGCTTTTTAAAAAACAAAATAAAAAGAGAATTATGGATAAAATTTTGTTCTGTATAAGAATGTATCTCAATTCGTCTTTGACGAAAATTAAATTTAAAATTTTTCACTTACAAGTAAAGAAAAATACTATTACATCGTAGTACTAACATATGACTTCATATTTTTAAATACTTATTATATGTATGAGGTAAGTAAATTTTTCCTAAGAATAAGAGACATATAATTCTCACCCCAATTTTATAATTTTGTTTAATTTTTGCTAACAATTTAGAAATATTTTTTGTATAATTTATCTTGTTTTATTTTTACAAACTTTTTAAGTCGAAAAAAAAAAATCAAATTTCAAAAAAGAAGTGGTTGAGATATTTTTGAGTTGGATACCAATAGATATCATAATTATTTCTGACATATTGAGAACTATCTGTTTAGATGGCCTACATGCTTAATCCTTTAAATTTTTTGGTGTTTCAATGTTGGAACTCATTTGGATGAACTAATAATATCATTTTTGAACTTTTGATTCAAGTTGAAGTCGTTGGGTCATTTTCATTATCTTTAAAATTGATCAAATTAGATTTGAACCGTTAAATTTTAAAAGTAACCGTTGATTTTTTTTTTCTTTTCAAAAATGACTATTAGATTGCTACTGTCAGTAAATCTGAACCGCACAACACAGTACTTGGAAATGAATGTAGTTGGGCGCGCCTCACTCAATCATAAGCTTAAAGGTGTGATAGCCGATGGATCATGGATGACAACAATGGCCGCGTTCCCACCACCCCCCCCATCCCCCCCCCCCCCCCCCCCCCCCCCCCCGCGCCCCCCCCGGGGGGTCCTCCTTCTCTTCTTCCTCCTATCACATGCCGCTGCAGCTTGGGAGGGTCTCGGCTCGTTTGGGGATTTTTTTCCCACCCCCACCCCCCGGGCAGTTTGGAGACAGCCTTAAAGCAGTGTGTTTCATCATTTTTACTTGAGTTCGAATAAATCGCTTATCATTTGTCAAAATAAATTATAGAGTCTAACTGAGTAAAGTTATTGAGTCCAAAAGGCTTAACAGAACCTAAACGAGCACATCTCTCCTTGATTTGGAGATTCAGAAGTTTGATTCTTTTTGAACTCGGTGATTATATTGAACACAACCACACATCAAGCCTTGAATATCATGGGCAATGAACCACGAGCTTGTGACTTAGTGGTAAATGGCGGATTGCGAGGCTTTCTTTAAACTAAAAACTGGAGGTCTTGGGTTGGAAACCTGTTATTGGTAGGAAAGTCAAACATGTGGCTAGGAGAAGGTTGAAATGTCTCTGTAAGTCTTCTCGGCCCCGAAAGGGATGAACAATTATCCTTTTAAAAAATAATAATAATAATAATGGGCAATGATTGGATGATTGGATTTTTTAGTCAATTTAATCTAGTTTCTACCATTAAAGTTAAATTTCATGCACGTGTACTCAAATGATCTTCAAATAAACAAAATTATTCCTTCATCTCAACCCTAATGGGCTGAGTAGACCAGCCAGCTGCATACTAAAGTCCACAACTATCAGGCCCAAGGCCTAAATAATTCGCCAAGCTCTCTAACGGAAATTTGCATCCACAATATGGGTACATCAACGCACTAGGTTAGTGATCTTGAAAAGCATTCACTTTGTTTAGCAAATAGTTTAAAGGCTTTCGTTGTCATACCTATCATAGGATAGTAGATTACGTGTTATTTGAGAAAAAAAAAAAATCGAGAACCAAACCAACTTGAACTGGTTAGGTTCGATTTCTAGTCCTTGCTTGACAAGTTTGGGTGAACCAAATTCTTTTCACTTGATTTTGCGGTTTGCCGGTTTTTTCCCCACCCGTACATGCAATTTTACTCTCAAATTGAGTATAACATGGGTGGCCTAAGACTCTCATTGGGTGTCAATATAATCACTCCCTCAAGAAATAAGAAGTTGGAAGGCTGAATGTGGGCCTGAAATTTTAATCACTGTTTTGGTGCTTTATGCATAAAAAAGCCCATCAACCGAACCAAACCGATTCGATGAAACGAACGGTTGAGATCAAATGAGAAATTGAGCATCCCCACGTACGCGATGACGCTTTATTCGGTGACGCGAATCAGAGGGAAAACTTGAGAGAAACGAAAACCTAGAAATAAAACCAGAGAAAAACTCAGAAACTGCGACAAAAAATCGATCAAACATTCAAAAGAATGGTGCTTTGGGAGATCGCATTAGGCACCGCCTATTTCTTGGGGCTCCGCCGCGCTTACAGACTCGCCCTCAAGATTGAGCGCCGCCTCATCGGCCCTAACCACCCTAAGATCCGTGAATTTGCTCACAGGTATTTCTTTTTCTTTTTCTCTCTTTGTTTAGGATTTTATTTGAAATATTTTGATTTCTCTAGAGTTTGATGCGTGAATTAATCAAACCATTAGAACTGATAAGAAAACCTTGTATTCCATGTAATTTGTGTATTATTTTCTTTAAAATTTGATTTAAAAAAGTTGTATGTGATTTCGTTAGTTTCTCACCGAAATGTAGGCATATTTGTGTTTGTTTTAAGCTTCGGAATTGTTTTGATTGTGTTATATGATTTCGGAATGTGTCGTAGATCTTATTACGTCATGAAATTAGCTGTGAATGTGCAGTGATTTATCTCTCTATTGTTTCATTGTTGAATGTTCCATTGCTGTTGGGCAAGTTAGTGAAGCATTGCCTAGATTACGCCGAATTAGTTTATAAATCGAATAATAGGATATGGGGGCATTCCGCCATCCACATTAGTTTCGTTGCATTGAACACTTTAAGGTTGCTAACATCTTTGATGCTCCGGTTAGAAAATGCAGTTATTAGATAGAGACTTAGGGCAAAAGGGGTAGAAGAAGGCCTAGGAAGACTTGGAAAAAGACTTTAAGAAAAGACATGGACTACTTGGAGCTAAAGGAAGACTTGGCGCAAAACCGAGTGCAGTGGCATTCTAGGATTCCTACAGCTGACCCTTTCTTAGTGGGATAATTCTTTGTTGTTTAAACTTCATGTGGTTTGGCCTTGCAGGATATGATCAGCATTTTTCGACCCAAAAAACAAAAAGATTTGATAAGCGTTTAGTATCCTGGACGGTTAATTTGAATATTTAGCACGAATACACTGCTCACCAGTAGATATATAGCATTAGAGCCTGATTAATGAGGTGTTTAATTAGCTGTAGGATTTGAGGGCTTTGGTCAGTGATGTTTATTTGTTGCTACCGTCCCGTTTCTTTTCTCGCTCACTATGATATTGCAATAGTTGTCTGTTAAACAATGACTGTTTATCATTTTTGCTATTAGTTTATAACTGCTACAGCCATTGTGTTTTTCTTTCATTCAAAGGCGAACACGTGCTGTGTTTGATGTAGCTGTCAAGGTTCACAAGAACGTTCAGCAACGAGACATAGAAGTTGGTAGAAATCTTGGTAACCGGATCCTGCGCTGGCTCGATCGGATGAAACCTGAAGCTGAGATTCGGCGTCCCCTGGACAAACCTCCCACTGGTTCTAACTCTAGCATGAGTATTACAAAGCAGGTAAACTCCTCCCAGCTCAAAACTCCTGGAAGCACTCAGATAACCAGAAATCAGGACTCTGACAGACATCTGTTTTCAACAATGACAAATATGTGGTCTAAACCGTTGCCTCCAATTACAATGATGATGAGATCACGAAAACCTTCTGGGAATGTGACCCACTACCGCCACTTATGCATGAACGCGCCTCAACCATTAAGATCAAACTACAGTACCGGTGGGTTTGGGGGAGTTATACGAAAGGATATAATGCAGTGGATGCTGCAAAAATGATGGGACAGAGGTACTTGCCCTTTGTGTTTTCGTAGGAGCCAAAGAATCTTGGGATCGGATTAAGGAGCGATAGGTTTTGAGGATGTGATACGGTTCCTCTGAAGTTGAGCTGACTGTTGTTTCTCAAAATCTGCTTTCAGATAAGTTTTTTGTCTATTCATTTTCTGGAACAAACTACAAGCACAAGTGTTTGGTTGTTCTTTGTTCTTTTTGTTTATTTTTGGGAAGCTATAGTAACGCAGGACATGATCGCGATGATTTTGTAATTAAATTAAGGAGATTTTAATTCATAATTGTTGGTTCAGACCATAGTCAGCAAAGTTCTCATGTTCATGTGTACTGAAATAGTGAATACCTCCCCAGTCGCCACTCTTTCACTTGGCCCGACGGGCGACGGTGATTGAAGGAGGCTGGTTGGAGATTAACTTTGGAGCTGCATTTCTAACCAGTTCGAATTTCAGTATAACCGGTGAAGTTTATCGAGGTTGATTTGCGTTGCTTCGCTTCCGAGGTGATGCTATTTTTGCTTACCCCGGGAGGAGTTTGTTGTTTGATGCTACTTTTGGGCCTTGTTACTTGTTAGTATTGAGTGGTAGAGTTTGTTAGAGTTTATTCTCTAAGCTTTAGGATTGAAATCCTGAAGCCTAATCCCAAACTCCAAAAGGGTACATTTGGTACACAAGACATGGCTCGATTTGACCTTTTTTTGTATCCGATTGGCATGGACAAAATTGAACTTTTTCACATTTAACGAGCATCTTTAACTGATATGTCCAAATGCCATGCGAAGTTAACGTTTGACATAACAACACTTACTACGATTTGTAGGTAAGAACCAAAAAACACGACGATTTTTATTAGTTGTTGAGTGGCTTTATTGACACTTCACAATTTATTGAACAAGTGTGCCACAAAATTTTAGTATTGGATGTCTTGATATGAAACTACTTAGGTCCCACAACTCTTTTTTGAAAATTTTCTGAGTTCACACTCGGGTCTAATGTGAGATAACTTTATACTAAAGGAGCAAATAATCACACACCTTGACAAATAAGACATGAAGTCGATTGTTTGGAGGCTTCACGTGAGGTATGAACTCATACTTATTAATTGTGCATCAATTTTAGTGATGTTCATATGATATGAGCTCTACGAAAACTATTTAATTTTTTCATAACGGTGTTGCATCATCTCAAATTTTAGGGTTGAGTTTTTCGTCCTGAAATCTCGACCTCGAATCTCGACCCCAACCCGATTCCCCCTGCCCTGAAACTAAAACACATTTCGGTATTCTTGAATTTTGAGATCCAAAAAGTTTTGGTTTGGGATCAGGACATAAAATACCAGTTGACAATTTTGGGATCAGGATTCAGGATTGGTTTTCGGTTCCTGCCCACAACTTTGCCCTGGTTTAAAAGAAGTTAGTAGCTATCAACCCAAATTTTGCAAGTTTTCAGTAAAGCAGACTTGTAACTAAGTAGGGCATTAAACTAAAATAATAATAAAAAATTGCGTGATTTTGGGATAGAAGATCCAAAGTTTTGGGCCCAAAGAAAAACTAGGTGAGCCTATTAAGGAAAGGCCTGGCTCTTAGTCCATACGTATGAAGAGTCTCCCAGGCGTCTCGAGGGCGTAGTTGTCGTCCATTTTTCCAGACTTTCAGACCGACTCAGTAGCCATATCCTCCCTCTCCCCATTTACAGGTTTGGTTTTTCCTTCTTCATCTTCCATTTGTTCTAATTTAATTTAATTTGTAAGGCCGTTTCGAACTTCTGATGTAGGGATTTAAGAATTAAGGTATTTTTTGATTCATGTATAATATAGGGATTTAGGATTCAATTAATCTATAATTTAGGGATTCAATTGATCTATAATTTAGGGATTTAGGATTGAAGAATCCCATGAATCAATGTTGGATGATTCTAAAATTGAGTGTATGCCGCAGGAATGATTGAATCCCGCAGGAATGATTGAACCTTGGTTGTCTTCTTAATATGATTTTTTAATTTTTTGTTAATTGATGTACTTCTCAGACTTTTTTTTTCCCTTAATTTTTCTTAGAATTTTAAGCAAGCTTCCTGTCATGTTATACCAAAATCAGGTCCAAGGATTCTTAGAATTGGAATTATTAATCTCTTGTTAATCTGAAATACTAGTGCTTATGGAGATTGTATAATTTTTAGGGATATAAATATTATGTAGGGCTCGTTTGGAAGTGCTTTTAAATTGGCTGAAAGCGGTTTGGAACCCGTTGTCAATAAAATGGCAAGTGAATCCTAAACAGGCACTTTATTTCTTTATGCTAGAAGCACATAGTAGGTGCTTTGCAGGAAGCACTTTAAGCTTTTGGAACCCAAAAACATTTTCTCTAAAAGCAAAGTTGTTCCAAACAAACTCGTAATTGTTTGTTGAAAGTGTTTTCTACTGCACAAGAATGTGCTGATCCTGATCCTTGACGGATATAAATATGATGTAATTGTTTGTTAAAAGTTTTTTCTACTTCATAGGAAGAACCTGATCCTCATCATCTTTTGAATTGTAGGTAACAGAAGCCACAAACATTGTCACAATGGAATTGGCGGACAAGGCCGTCGGATTTCTTTTATCCTACATCAGTTTGTCGATATTCACTTACTACACATTTTGGGTGATTATCCTGGTCAGTTGTACTTCTTTCTCAAATCAAATGCTTTATTGCTTCCCACACTTAAGTAACCTGATGTCGTCTGTTGTTGATATATTTACCGTCATTTGTGTTTCAGCCGTTTGTAAACAACGATCACTTCATCCACCGGTATTTCCTCCCACAAGAGTACGCCATACTAATACCTGTGTTTGCTGGCATGGTGCTTCTCTGCTTTTTATGCATTTTCATTGGATATGTCATGTTAAAATCCAAAAAGAAGAAAGCTTGATGACAGTATTTCCCCCACTTTTAGTTTCTTTTCATTTCTTTGGAGCCGAATCCAAGTGTTTCTGAAATGATCAGATACTGATTACCTTTCTTGTTCAGTTTTTCTGGATCATTTCTAATTCACTTTTCTATACCCCTTTATCGGTGATTTAAGTGCTCGTTTTACATTAAGGCCTCGTTTGGTGTCTTGGACCGGAGTGGAATCGGTAACCCACAATGTTTCATGTATGTTGAAGGGGGTAGTGATTTCGGAATGTTTCATATATCATATTATGTCATGAAACTAGCTGTGAAAATGCAGTTATATCTCAATTGTTTCGGTGTTGAATGTTCCATAGCTTCCGAGCTGGTGCTATTTTTGCTTTCCCGGGAGGAGTTTGTTGTTTGATGCTACTTTTGGGCCTTGTTACTTGTTAGTATTGAATGGTAGAGTTTGGTACACAGGACATGGCTCGATTTGAACTTTTTTTGTATTCGATTGGCATGGACAAGATTGAACTTTTTCACATTTAACTAGCATCTTTAACCGATATGTCCAAATGCCACGTGAAGTTAACGTTTGACATAACAAAGTGCTCTAAACAATGAATTAACACTGACTAGGATTTGTAGGTAAGAACTAAAAAGCACAATGATTCTTATTAGTTGTCGAGTTGTTTTTATTGACACTTCACAATTTATTGAACAAGCGTGCGACAATATTTTAGCATTGAATGTCTTGATATGAAACGACTTTAGGACCCACAAGTATTTTTTTAAAATTTTTTGGGTAAAGTATAAAAAACTACCTCAATTATTGGTGTCACGACACTTTTATACCTCATCTTTTAAAATTGACAATGTCATATCTCATCTTACGAATTTGTGCCAATGTTATGCTTTCTGTTAGCTTGGTTGTTTATTTCTCAGTTAAATGATGATGTGGCTTGATCCAGACTCATTTTCTATTAAAAAAGTAATAAAATATTATTAAAAACTAAAAAAAAAATCATTTAATAATTTTTAAATATTAAAATAATAAAGAAAAGTAAAAAAATTAAAATTCAAAATTCAAAAAAAAAAAAAACCCTCACATCCCCTTCCCCACCCCGTCTCTCTCTTCTCCCCCATTCCCCTTCCTACAACCCATAAAAAAGAAGAAGAATAAAAAAAAAAAAACCAATTTATCTTCACCCCCCCCCCCGAAGCACCCACCCTCTTCCCTCCACCCCCATTTTCTCCGCGCCCAGGTTCTCAACCTTTGGAATCAGCCTGGCGAAGGTTTCCCGATTCCACCTTAACAGGATCTGGGTTATTTATTTATTTATTTATTTTTTGGGTTGTAGGTAGTGGGTGTGAGGTTGGGTGCAAAGGGTGGGTGTGAAGGTGGGGAGGTTGGGTGCGGAGAGTGTGTGTAGGGAGAAGAGGGGGTGGGGAGCAGGGAAGACAAATTGGTTTTTTTTTTCCTCTTCTTTTTTCTGGGTTGCAGTTGCAGGAAGGGGGAAGAAGTGAGAGAGAAAGAAAGGGGGAAGGGGACGAACCGAGTGTTGTTGTTGTTTTGTTTTTAAATTTTTTTTTATAGCTTTTTTTTATTATTTTAATATTTAAAAAATATTAAATGATTTTTTTTAGTTTTTAATAAAATTTTAATAGAAAATGGGCCCCGGATCAAGTCACATCAGCATTTAACTGAAAAATTCATGCCAAGCTAACGGAAGGTATAACATTGGCACAAATTTGTAAGATGAAGTATGACATTGTCAATTTTAAAAGATGAGGTATGAAAGTATCGCGACACCAATAGTTGAGGTAGTTTTTTGTACTTTATCCAAATTCTTTTGAGTTCACACTCATGTCCAATGTGAGATAACTTTATACTAAAGGTGCAAATAATCACACACCTGGACAAATAAGACATGAAGTCGATTGTTTGGAGGCTTCATGTGAGGTATGAACTCATATTTATTTATTGTGCATCAATTTTAGTGATGTTCATACAATATGAGCTCTACGAAAACTATTTAATTTTTTAGAATGATGGTGTTGCATCATCTCAAATTTTAGAGCTGAGTTTTTTCGTCCTGAAATCCCAACCCCTAATCTCGACCCCAACCCTATTCCCCCCACCCTGAAAGAAGCCAAAACAAATTGAGCCTCGAAACTAAAACACATTTCAGTATTCTTAAATTTTGGGATTCAAAAAGTTTTGGTTCGGGATCGAGACATAAAATACCAGTTGACAATTTCGGGATCAGGATTTAGGATTGGGTTTTCGGTTCCGGCCCACAACTTTGCACTGGTTTAAAAGAAGTTAGTAGCTACCAACCAAAACTTTGCAAGTTTTCACTAGAGCAAGCTTGTAACTAAGTAGGGCATTAAACTAAAATAATAATAAAAAATTATGTTGGTGCGTGTGATTTTGAATAATGCTATTCAGACCATGTTTTTGTACCACATTTTCATACCACCTTAAGTAGCATTTGATGTGGACAACCATATCATTTGAATTAATCAGGTTTTTAAATTTAGTTCATTATTTAATAAACTAATACTTAAGAAAAACTAGTTCATTATTTAATAAATTTAGTTCATACCACCTTAGGAGGAGTCTTTCTCCTTCCTTTCATTGGGTTTTGCAAATTTTTCAAATAATATGACTATCCACATCAGATGCCACCTAAGGTGATATAGAAATATGATATAAAAACATGGTATGAATAACATTACTATGTGATTTTGGAATAGAAGATCCAAAGTTTTGGGCCCAAAGAAAAACTAGGTGAGCCTAGTAAGGGCCTGCTTCTTAGTCAACACGTGTGAAGAGTCTCCCTGGCGTCTAGAGGGCGTAGTCGTCGTCCATTTTTCCAGACTTTCGGACCGACTCAGTAGCCATATCCTCCCTCTCCCCATTTACAGGTTTGGTTTTTCCTTCTTCATCTTCCATTTGTTCTAATTTAATATAATTTGTAGGGCCGTTTCGAACTTCTGATGTAGGGATTTAAGAATTAAGGTATTTTTTTTATTCATGTATAATATAGGGATTGAGGATTCAATTAATCTATAATTTAGGGATTCAATTGATCTATAATTTAGGAATTTAGTATTGAAGAATCCCATGAATCAATGTTGGATGATTCTAAAATTGAGTGTATGCCCCAGGAATGATTGAACCTTGGTTGTCTTCTTAATATGATTTTTTACATTTTTGTTAATTGATATACTTCTCAGACTTTTTTTTTCCCCTTAATTTTTCTTAGAATTTTAAGCAAGCTTCCCGTCATGTTATACCAAAATCAGGTCCAAGGATTCTTAGAATTGGAATTATTAATCTCTTGTTAATCTGAAATACTAGTGCTTATGGAGATTGTATAATTTTTACCGATATAAATATTATGTAGGACTTGTTTGGAAGTACTTTTAAATTGGCTGAAAGCGGTTTGGAACCCGTTGTCAATAAAATGGCAAGTGAATCCTATTTATTTCTTCATGCTAGAAGCACATAGTAGGTGCTTTGCAGGAAGCACTTTCAAGCTTTTGGAACCCAAAAACATTTTCTCTAAGAGTGCTTTCAGTCATTTTGAAAGTTGTTCCAAACAAACTCGTAATTGTTTGTTGAAAGTGTTTTCTACTTCACAAGAATGTGCTGATCCTTGACGGATATAAATACGATGTAATTGTTTGTTAAAAGTTTTTTCTACTTCATAGGAAGAACCCGATCCTCGTCGTCATTTGAATTGTAGGTAACAGAAGCCACAAACATCGTCACAATGGAATTGGCAGACAAGGCTGTTGGATTTCTGTTATCCTACATCAGTTTGTCGATATTCACTTATTACACATTTTGGGTGATAATCCTGGTCGGTTGTACTTCTTTCTCAAATCAAATGCTTTGTTGCTTTCCACACTTAATTAACCTGATGTTGTCTGTTGTTGATATATTTACCGTCGTTTGTGTTTCAGCCGTTTGTGAACAACGATCACTTCATCCACCGGTATTTCCTCCCACAAGAGTACGCCATACTAATACCTGTGTTTGCTGGCATGGTGCTTCTCTGCTTTTTATGCATTTTCATTGGCTATGTCATGTTAAAATCCAAAAAGAAGAAAGCTTGATGACAGTATTTCCCCCACTTTTAGTTTCTTTTCATTTCTTTGGAGCCGAATCCAAGTGTTTCTAAAATGATCAGGTACTGATTACCTTACTTGTTTTGTTTTTCTGCATCATATCTAATTCACTTTTCTATCCCCTTTTATCGGTGATTTAAGTGCTCGTTTTACATTAAGGCCTCGTTTGGTGTCTTGGATCACAGTGGAATCGGTAACCCACAATGTTTCATGTATGTTGAAGGGGGTAGTGATTTCGGAATGTTTCATATATCATATTATGTCATGAAACTAGCTGTAACGGGCAGTGAGATCTCAATTGTTTCGGTGTTGGATGTTCCGTTGCTCTTGGGCAAGTTAGTGAAGTTTTCATCTTTCTCAGCTTAGATCTGGAAACAACAAAGAAGACATGTATGGCTGTTACAAGGAATATTGCAATCATACGAGTAGTCGTATACTCGACATTGGTTCCGTAAATGCCTTAATTTAGACGAGCAATATAAGTTTTTACAAAAATAAGCATAACACATCAATATGCGGTATCGTTTAACTGAATGTAAGCTTTATGCTAAAATGTTTTTTGCACTCGATCATGACCGGCGAGTTATCCAAATGCGTCAATGTTGGAAGTGCGTAACTTGCCAAAAGCAAAATGACCATAATTAAAAACATGTTTAGTTTGGCCATAATGGTAGAAAGAACGAGTAACTTTTTATTTTCTCAGAGAATGATCCCTTGGGTGCAATTGAATTTTAACGCGAGGAGTTCTACACTTATGAGGAAGAGCCAAAGATGCGAGTCAATCGTAAATGAAAATTGAATTATCCTTTAAAACTACTTGAGCAACGTATTTAACAGATGTGAGTTACCAAATACGAGAATTCCTAAATTTAGTCTTTATTTGGGATGATAAAAGCAACCAACAAGTTGTAATAAATTTTTTAAATCTCAACGATCACACAACTATTTATTATTTCCCACAACTATTTTTTTTTTTAGCAGATTAATTGATTGACAAATTTATTGCAATAGAGTTGCAAAAATCGTAAATTGGATCTCAACGATCACATAACTAGTTGTTATTTCTCACAACTATTACTTCTTTTTTTTTTCGCAAATTAATTAATTGACTAATTTATTGCAATAGAATTGCGAAAATCGTAAATTGGACTTACACATCGTAGTCCTGAATATTATAAACATTTAGATATCATTAAGTAAAAAATAGATGACAAATTGAAAAAAGAAAGCGACTAGTCTTAATTGTTTGGCAATAAATAGACAAATGTATTTTTCGAGTATTAATATTCATTTCATAACAAAATGAAAATGTGACATAAGAGAATAAATTTGTTAAGGAGTAAAGCATCTTTTTTTTATAATAAACCCGTTTTAGCACAAATATCATACCGCACCTAATGTATTTGGTACAATACTCATACTCATGTTCCACACATCGTATATAACGTTTATGAGCTACAGTTGCGTACTTTCCACAATCCGTTCAGAAAGCTTTACTTACCTTACTAGAAGGACTTTTAGGCTCAATAATGTTATGGTTTTTGAAATTTAGTGCTTTGATAACTCTATCTTTTCGTCGTTTTTGTTTCTATTAAGAAAACAACTCAAGGATTACACATTTCTATATGAGCTGTAAATGTTTAAGGCTGCTGAGCACCACAACCCTAGAGATGTTGAAATCTTCTAAATAACTCTATACACAAGTCAAGTGCAAGAAAACTTAACACAGTTATTTTGAGATGAGAAGTTAATAATTTAGAAAATTTGGTATGACAGAACGTTTAAAATGTTAATTCATATGACAAATTTAAAAAAATTGTAGAAGTTGATATGACATTTTAAAAAATTTCCAATGAAAAATTGTGCTTGCTCCCTCGCTACTCCTAACCTAATTACAAAATTATAATTAAACAATAAGAATAAGGGAACTTTAACGAAAAGTTTCGGTACTGTTCACTTTAATGAAAAACTATATTTTTACACTAAAAAATCAATCATAGTACTATTCAATTCACCATTTATTTTGCTATTTTCGTTAAAACTCAAAGTTTTCAAACTATTTTTATTAGTTTTCCTTATTAAGCAATAAGAACGCAAGAAGTTCAACCGATATCAATGGAGGCAACTCTCTCTGATCCACAACACCCCAAAATCACATCACATTGCATGCAAACAATCAAACGAAACATAATAAAACACGAAAACTGAAGAGACAAATTAACTATATACCTGAAAATAAAGAAAATCGATGGATGGATGAAGGATGATGATCACGTCTAAGAGACTAAGACCAAGAATTATCGAAAGCAGCGGAAGTAATGGCGTGAGCAAACTCCTGGAAATTGATTCTTCCATCGCCATCCGTATCCGCCTCCTTGATCATCCCTGTCAACTCCTCCGCCGTAAGGGCGTGCCCCAGTTTCGCCATGGAGTGCGCCAGCTCAGCTGCCGTGATGAATCCATTGCCGTCCCTATCGAACATCCGAAACAACTGCCTCAGCTGGTCCTCCGTGTAAGGAGACTTGGCCGAGAGAAGCTCCGGCGCTACCAGCCCTACGAACTCGGAAAACTCCACGAGGCCATTGCTGTTTGTGTCTGCCTTCTGGATCAAGGCATCGAGCTGCTCCGGCCCCGGCTTCAACCCCAGTGAGCGGAGAAGCGACCCCAGCTCCAGCTGCGTTAGGCTTCCGTCGTTGTTTCGATCAAACGACCGGAATATTTCCCGCAGGTCCGCGATTTGGTCGTCGTCCAGCTTCACTGGCTGCTTGTTGCTCATGACCAAATGCTCGAGTTCGAACCTCCCTCCCCCTTAGTTGAGATGAATTTAGTGTACAATATCGCTCGTAAAAGAAAGAAGCCGGATCCGAATGTAATTGGGGTCAATATCTCCTTGAATGTCGGACCTTTTCTCCTCCTTTTTGGGTGGAATCAATTGCTGATCTCGATTCAGAGTCTTTGACCCAAATATCGGATCCGGTTCCGATGTATGATCATCCACAACACACAGAGATGAGAATAATATGATCAAAATATAAAGAAATGCATGAAGAAAGTCTTTTTGCGTTTGTAAAATGCGGTGAGTGAGGCGGAAATTACGTGACGAAAAGTGTGACTCGACACCCGCGCACGTCGGTCTTTGCTGTCAACCGCTTTTTAAACAAGTTGGGAATTGGGTTGGTGTGCTTTGAGATTGGGACTTGGGAGGAAGGGTTAACGGTCATCTTGACGTTTCACGTTTTTGTTCATTAATATAAGGTTGTGTGGAATAAAATTTATATTAACATTGTATTATTAAATCAAAATATAACACAATAGCGATAAATATGTTTTATGTAAGTCATCATGTTTTGGGGTTCTCCTTCAAAATATGCTGCAATCGTTGATGAAAAATGATTTCCGCATTTTTTTTTTTCTTCCTTCAATACATATTCATGTTGTATATATTCTTAATTCTAATTTGAATATTGAATTTAAAGGCACCAGAAATGAAGAGAGGGACAATCACTTCTGTTTGGTTTTGGTGGGAGGTTGGTTTGGATAATTGGATTTGGCAGGGTACAGGTTAATTCTTAGTTTTAGGGATTATTATATTTTAATATGATATTGTGAGTGGGTGGAGGGAGGGAGAGGACAAGGGGAATGTTCTCATAGACTTACGGAAGGCTTCATGTCTCGTTTAATAATCATTTCATTTTTAAGTTTTAATTTTTAAATGTTATGATTAAGAATCACAAGAAAAGTATATAAAGGGAGGACGAGCGACTGAAACAAAACCTTGGAAATTGAAAACAAATTCAATTGGTTTTTATTTTAAGTTATCATGTTACGTGTCTTTCCTGCTATATTTGTTCTACATATCTGCCACCATCATTCCTCCGCTCTTCCGTTTCCCTCGTCTCTCCAGTGCGTTTCTCCTCTATAACTAACACGATAAAAACAAGATATAAAATAGTTATCAAACGACCCCCAAAAAATAGATTCGGATAAAAAAAAATGACAACAATGTTGACGAAATGTATCTAACTGATGCATAACAATTCAACCAACCCTATTCCTTAATCTGCATTTTAATCATTGGCCTCTCAGCAATGCAGACTGGAAGCGGAAGCTGCAAAATAGGGATACATTTTCATATCTGAAAAATACTCAAGTACACAATATGAATATACCATCATTTTCCTTGTACGAGTTTGACTATATGTATATGACCTCGTATCCATGACACAACCGAACTGAACGTACCGCGTTACTGATATAAAAGCGGGCTCCCTTCTCTAGCAAGCACAAAAAGACCACCATCCCCCCTTGAGATCCGAAGATCCTCATCAAGGTATGTAATAAGAAGCCAAGACTTGGTCTGTTCACCTGGAACGGGAACCTTAAGCGGTGGCTGACCAGAAATGGTCCTAGAGATACCTGCAACAGCATCCTGCAAAGGATTGAGAGTTTGCTGGACGGGCGATAAATTGATTTTCTGCCCAAAGACTTCCACTTCTTGAGGGAGATCAACGCTTGACTTAATCTCCGGAGGCTGAAAGCTGCCTTCCTTGAATTCCACCTAAATATGTACAGAAGTAAACTGGTAAGGTTCTGGTGCACATCTACCCATGTAATAACTTCATGTTATTCAGTCTGATTTGAGTGCAAGTGATACCTGGATTCTTGACGGACTCCTAACTTCAAAGCTAGCAGATGCACTGAACGAGAAGCTAGCAAAAGGGCCGGACAGCGTGGTGGAGTTCAAAATGGTCAGGCTGCTACTGTTGATCGCTTGGGTTATTTTGTTTACCTTCAACAATGGTGTGCCACCTGCTGCGAGTAGTGGCAACAGCTCAGAGGATGCAGTGTACCTGATTTATAGAGATGAAAATAAATAAACAAGATCAAGGAAACAGAAAGCCTCTGGTGTATACTAAAATACTTGCTCTATAACTAGAGGGGTAAAAGAGAAACAGAAACCATTAAACATTTCACAAGGACAATGGTCAACTTGTTTCAAGGCATCCAGGTCAAAAGCAATCAGAAAAAGAAAGGTTTCCGTCAATGGTAGCGTATCGTCTGAGATACATGTGGTCGTTACCACATGTGTTACACTATGCAAGGCTGCTAAAGCCAACCATAACAAC